AGGACGATGGTGGGGCGCCGGCGCTGCTCGACGCGGACGAAGACAGCGAGAGGGTGCGCGGGCGGTGCGTCGCCGAGCGAGTGAGCGCCTGCCCGTGCCCGTGCCCGTGGCGGCGAGGCGACGACGAGCGGGACGAGGTCGACCCTGCGCGCGACGACGCCGAGAGGGATCGAGCGGCGCCTCGCGCAGCCGTCGCCGACGAGGAGGGTCGGCCGAACTCGCGCTCGCGATGGTCGCCAGCGATGGACGATCCCGCCGAGGTGTAGTAGCTCGACGTTTCCGCTCGATGGTCGAGGTGCGTGACGAACTCTTGCGAGGACGAGAGCGACGACGGCGGGGCGTCCTCGGACTCGGGCGACGAGGCGGGCATGGATGTGACCGAGGGGACGTGGTGCGGGACCCGCCGCTGCTCCTCGACGTCGTCGCCGTCGTGCTGGACGAACAGGTCGTGCGGGAGCATGTACAGCGGGCTCGCGCCGCCACCTGCCGCCGCCGCGGGCGAGCGCGGCAGGACGAGCGCCGGCGCCCACCTCACGCCGGCCGTGTTGAGCTGCTCCTGGACGGCCTGCGACAGGGCCGCCGTCTTCTGCGGCTTGCCCGTTGGCGACGGCGGGAGGACGAGGACGGGCAGGACGGGCAGGACGTGCGAGACGGGGCGCGCGAGGGCGATCTCGCTCGCGAGAGGCGCTGCGGAAAGAGCGAGGGGTCAGGTCGGGCGCCGCTTCGAGGCGAGAGAGAGAGAGAGAAAGGGGGGAGGACGCACGCGACGAGAACAGGAACAGGCACGCTTCAAACTCGCCGCACCCAGCCGCCTCGACCACCTGCGCGAGGCCCGTCGTCGCCGGGTACGACCGCGAGAGCTTGGCCTCGAGCCGCTCGAGCGGGCGCGACAGCTCGTCGACGAGCTCGGCCGCCGCGTGCGCGTCGCCGTCGTCTCGCGCAGGGTGCCACAGCGCGACGGGCTCGTCGGCGCACACGAGTGGCTCGAAGAAGGCGCCGGTCGGGCGCTCGGCGGCGGCGGCCATGGCGGCGGCGGCGGCCCGAGCGCGCGAGGCGCAGCGGTCGTGCGACGAGGACGATGGCGGGCCGAACGACAGGTACGAGTACGACATGTCGGTCGCGCCTGCGACGGACGCGGCGCTCGTCGTGCGGCGCAGGTCGTCGTCGTCGTCGTCGTCGTCTCGCTCGCCGTCGCGGGCGACAAGTCTCGCGAGCGTGCGGCGGTTGGCGGCCGACTTGCCGAGGACGAGGAGGCGCGCGCTCGGCGGCACTGGGGCGTCTCGCTCGTACGCTCGTGCACGTGCGGGCGACGAGCGGCGCGGCGGTGTCGCGCTCGCGGCGTCAAGGTGCAGGCTCGGCATGACGAGCCCGCTCGCGTGGCCCAGGTGGTCGTCCTCGCTGCTGACCTCGCCCGCGCGGTCGTGGTCCTCGTGCGTGCTCCCATCCGTGCTCGCCGTGCTGCTCGCCGTGCTGCCCGACCGTGTCCCGCTCGCGCTCGCGCTCGTGCTCGTGCTGCGCGTGCGGGTCCGCCGCCGGGCGCTCCTGCTCCTGCTGCGCGGCGACGCCTCGTGGCTCGAGAGGGCCGACGACGTGCCGGCGCAGCTCGAGAGGCGGGTGCGCGATCCGCCGCCGCCGCCGCCGGGGAGGAACGTCGACGAGGCCATCGACGCGGTGGGCGAGGCCGGTGGCGAGAGCGAGTCGTGGAGGAAGGAGGCGAGCTGGTGCGAGTGGCTGGGCTGGAGGGGCGGACGCTCTTGTGCTGCGAGTGCGGCGGCGCGTGGTGATGCAGGCGCGCGAGGAGGCTCGAGTGGAGGAGGAGGATCGGGACTAGTGAAGGTGGGGGAGGGACGGGTCGAGGACGAGAGGTAGGCGCGCTCGGGCGGGGACGGGAGGAGGTTCGCCTGGGTGGTGCGTGCGCCCGCCTCGAAGGCGGACCGCAGGCCGAGTTGGCTCGAGGTGCGTGCCGGTGGTGGGTGGTGGGGCGGGCCGCGCGAGGAGGACGAGGGCGAGGGCGGCGGGTTGACCTCGCTCATGCTGATGATCGACCCGTCCCAGCTCAGCTCCATGGTGCTCGCTCGCTTCAGGCAGCCGGTGCGGTGTGAGAAGCGAGAGAAGACGCGGGCGAGATGAGCGAGCGACGCAAGCGACGGCCACCTCGTCTCGTCGGGAAATTCGTACACCGGTTGAAGCACCCAGTCTAGAGTGTTGCAAGCACTCCAGAAGGCGTCGGATCTACACCAGAGGCGAGTGCAACGAGGTGTCAGGTTTTGGGCGCCTTGGCTCGCTCGCCAGCTCCGCAACTCGGTTTCGTCCTCCCGCCTGTGGCTTCACCTCAGCATGGAGCAGCCGGGCAAGGTTGCCGTCGTACTAGGGGCCCAGTGGGGGGATGTACGTCCTCTCTCTCTCTCTCCTCGCCCGTCTCGTCGTTCGCAACTGACGGCCCCTCGACTTGCACTGGCCGCAGGAAGGCAAGTCAACCCGCTCTCCCGCTCTCCCTCGCCCCTCTGCAGCCCAGTCCGGGTGCCTACCTGTGCTCTTGTAGCCAGGGCGGAGTCCACAGCCCGCCGCAAGCCCTCCAGGCGGTGTCGTCGCTGTCGTCGGACCCCGGCCCGCGAATCTCCTCCGCGCTCCGCCCGAGGCCCCCTCCTCGTCGCGCAACCCAGTCCCGCATCCCAGAGCAGCGAGCTGACCCCACGCCTCCCACGCGCACACAGGCAAGGGCAAGCTTGTCGACATCCTCGCCGCCGAGGCCGACATCACCGCACGCTGCGCCGGCGGCAACAACGCCGGCCACACCATCGTCGCCAACGTCAACGGCGTCAAGACCAAGTTCGACTTTCACCTCCTTCCCTCGGGTGCGTCGCTCGCGTCCTCTTGCATGTGTGCGGCGGGTCGTGGCACGCCCTCGAGCCGCCGCGCTCGTCCTGATCGTCGTCCGCGGCTCAAGCGCTCACCTCTGCTCCCCCTCGCACACAGGTCTCGTCAACCCCAACTGCACGGCCTTCATCGGCAACGGTGTCGTCGTCCACATCCCGGCCTTCTTCCAGGAGCTCGAGGCGTTGACGTCCAAGGGTCCGTTCCCCTCCCGTCCTCCTTTTCTTAAGCCCCGTCGCGCCGTCCCTGACGCTCGTGTCCCGCACAGGCCTCAACTGCGAGGGTCGCCTCTTCATCTCGGACCGCGCGCACCTCGTGTTCGACTTTCACCAGATCGTCGACGGCCTCAAGGAGGTCGAGCTCGGCGGCTCGAATATCGGCACGACCCGCAAGGGCATCGGTCCCGCCTACTCGTCCAAGGCGAGCCGTTCGGGCCTCCGCGTGCACCACCTCTTTGACGAGGAGGCGTTCGCGACCAAGTTCCGCACGCTCGTCGAGGGCCGCTTCAAGCGCTACGGCCACTTCGAGTGCGTCCTCGCCCTCTCTCTTTCTCTCTCTCGATGTCCCTCAGCTCGAGTCCTGACGTTGCTCTCGCGCGCCGCGCACAGGTACGACACCGAGGGCGAGATCAAGCGCTACAAGGAGCTCGCGCAGCGCCTCAAGCCGTACGTCGTGGACGGCATCGCGTTCATCCACAACGCGCTCGCGGCCAACAAGCGCATCCTCGTCGAGGGCGCCAACGCCCTCATGCTCGACCTCGACTTTGGCACGTACCCGTTCGTCACGTCGAGCGCGACCGGGATCGGCGGCGTCTGCACCGGGCTCGGCCTCCCGCCGCGCACCGTCGGCGGCACGTACGGCGTCATCAAGGCCTACACGACGCGGGTCGGCGCCGGCCCGTTCCCAACCGAGCAGCTCAACAGCATCGGCGAGCACCTGCAGGAGGTCGGTGCCGAGTTTGGCGTCACGACGGGCCGCCGCCGCCGGTGCGGCTGGCTCGACCTCGTCGTCATGAAGTACTCGACCGTCATCAACGGCTACACGGCGCTCAACCTCACAAAGCTCGACGTGCTCGACGACGTCGACACGATCAAGGTCGCCGTCGCGTACCACCTCGACGGCAAGCCCCTCGACGCCCTCTTCCCCGCCGACCTCGACACGCTCGCCCGCGTCGAGGTCCAGTACGTCGAGCTCCCAGGCTGGAAGCAGTCGATCCAGGACAAGACCCAGTGGTCCGACCTGCCCGACAACTGCCAGAAGTACGTCGAGTACATCGAACAGTTCCTCGGCGTCCCCATCCGCTGGATCGGGACCGGTCCGGCGCGCGAGAGCATGATCGACCGCGGCGCAGGGCACGCGTAGAGTCGCACGTTGGACGAGTGGGGTCGAGTCGAGGACGTAGAAGGCCGGTCGAGGTGTTTGGCAAATGCAGAAGCACTTATTCTCGTTCTCGTCGTCTCGCTCTCCTTCTCTTTTCCTCCCTCTTTCCTCGTCGGCGAGAGTGAATCGCAAGCTCTCCTCTCGCTGTGCATGCTGTCGAGAAGGTAGAGCTCTCGCTCGCATTGCTCGCACTGCTCGAAAGGTCGCAGAAGGCCAAAGGGTCCAAGCGGCTCGCAAGTTGCTCAAGGACTCGGCGTTCCAGCTCCACCCAGCTCCCGCCGCTAGTTACTGGGGCCTCTCGTACGTCTCGACCTCGTGCACGATCTGCGACTTGCCACCGATGGTCGAGAAGATCGCTTCGCCGGTGCCCATGCCCGACCAGAGCCAGGCATTGGTGCGCTCCTTGGCGCCGCGGTAGTGCGCATTCGCCTCGACATCGTGAGGCCGGCGGGACACGAGCTGTCCGAGCCGGCAGATGAAGAAGAGCTTGTGCTGGAAGAGGCTGAACCACGTCGCGCGGCTGTAGTCGAGCGGCAAGACGCGCGCCCGCCTGAGGTCGGCGCACATTCCCGAGAGGAGACTGGCGCAGAGCCCGGACGCGACGTCGACGTTGAATGTCTTGCGATCCTCGTCGTTCACAGCGATAGAGTAAAGGTGCGGGCCCACAGCATCGACGACCTCTGGTCCCGCGAGCTGCCACAGGATACTGCGGACCAGGCACACGATGAAGGGCTTGTGCGGGAGCCGGCGAATGTCGTAGACGTCGCCGTTGATGCTCTCGAGAACTGCCTGCCAGGGCGAGAAAGATGTCAGTGACCGACGACGGCGTGCAGTCCAGGCGAGACTGACGCACCTCGGCTGGAGCCTGACCGAGCTCCTCTAGCGCAGCGCGGAAGCTCTTAGCCAGACTTGAGGCTGACGACTTGTCCAGGAGCTTCTTGACCTGCGCAATGTCGCTGTCGAGAAGAGGGAGCATCGCGAACGGGAGGGCCTTGCCCGGCCCGCAGACGAGCTTGTGCGCCGGCCACACCTGCTAGGTCGCCCGAGGGTCAGACGAAATCGCGCAGAGTAGAGTACGAGAGGGGACGCACGAGCTTCTGGTGGTCACGGGAGCAGAAGAAGAGCGAGATGCCCGCCGACTCGCACGCGGCGCACTTCGAGGTCGTCTCGACGCCGCAGACCTCGCACGGCTGCGGAACTGGCTCGGCAGGCATAGATGATTGATATAGAAGATGAAGGAGTGCGCTCGAGATCGGCAGCGGTGCCGGTCGATGTGGTGAGAGGAGGAGGAGGGAGGACGAGAGCCGCCTCCGCCGAGTCGAACCTCTCGCTCCTCAGCTTCCCTCGCCTCGCCCCTTGCTGGCCGACAGACGCACTCGAACGCATCAGTGGACCTCTCGAGCTCGTCCAAGAGCACCGGCACGCCGCCCCAAGTCGTCCTCGCCTCTCCAGCTCGCCTCATCAGCCCCGGAGCACACGCCTCCTCCACGACATCATCCTCATCGTCCAACCTGCGAGATGAGCTCCGAGTGGGACGAGACGTGCCTCGTGTGCGGCACCAAGACCAAGAACCGCTGCGCCAAGTGCGCCGCGGCCGGCATCTCGCTCTTCTTCTGCAGCGCCGACCACCAGAAGCTCGTGAGCCCCTCGCTTCTCCTCCTTCGGCGTCGCCGAGCGTGTCGAGCGCGTCAAGCTGACCTCTAGAGGCCCGATCTGCAGGTCTGGAAGGTGCACAAGCGCGTCTGCGGTCCGACCAAGGCCAACCCGTTCGTCTACCCGCTTCTCTCGAAGGACGAGTCCGGGCAAATCCTCGAGCACATGCACGACTCGAGCGGCCAGCTCTCTCGCTTCCCGCAGCAGACATCGACGGTCGCTAAGGCGCTGCAGCACTTTCTGCAAATTCCTGGGCGTGAGCTGCGCGTGCGTCCCCTCCGTCTCTTCCTTTCGAACGAGGTCTGAGCGGGTTCGAGACTGACTGACTCCCCTTGCATCGCCTCTCCCTCGCAGGACTGCATCAGGACCGTCACAGAAGGCGGTCCGAACGAGCTCGTCACGCCCGACATCCAGCGGCGAGTTCTCGTCATCGCCCGCGCGCACGAGAACGCTCGCACGCTCGACCTCCGCCACATCGTCACCAGCCCTGTCGCCAACCCGTTCGGCAACCTCGCGTCGTGGGACTGGTACTCGGCGCGCGATACGACCGAGGCGTCGACGATGCGCTGGGGCGACGAGCCCTGGCGCTCCTGGTACCGCCACGCCATGCTCGTCTACTTGTACCTCATGGACCAGTGTCGGCGCGAGCCCAATTCTCCCGAGACGACGACGAGGGCGGCCTGGCTCGAGCGCCTGGTCGAGCGCAACGACACCTTCATCCGCACGACCATCGCGCCGACGTGCCCTCACCTCGCCGACTCGATGCTTGAGACGGCGCTCAGGGTCAAGGACGCGATGCAGATGCTGGGCATGCCGACTGGGCCTGTTTAGATACCCTCTCTCCTCTCGACTGTAACGCTTGACTCGATCGCTTTCCTGCGTGCGACGAGCGAGGCGAGGCGAGCGAGAGAAAACGAGAGAACGGAACAAAAGCGTCGTTGCAGACCCTCCCCCTCACCGCTCACCGCGCGCTACGGCCTCCTCGCAGAGTCGCAGTACACGTGTCCCATCTTGAAGCCCTCGAGAGCACGCACAAACTCGGGACGCTCCGTGCCCATGCCCGACTTGACCCACTCGAGGAGCCGCTCCTTGGCGCCGAGGTACAGCTCGCCCATGCCCGGCGGCGCGAGAGGGTGGACCGAGAGATGGCCGAGGCGCGACATGATGAAGAGCTTGTGTTGAAGCAGGCTGAACCATTGCTCGACGGCGTAGTCGCGCGACATGGCGTTGTAGCCGAAGAGCCAGTCGGCGACGCAAAAGACGATGTCGGCCGTGTACTGCATTGTCGACAGCTCGTCAAAGTACTCGGGGTCGTTCGGGTCCAGCATGGACGAGTACGTGACGGGCGGTGCGTCTGACTCCTCGCACGCGAGATGCTGCGAGACGGCGCTGCGGACGAGGCTGACCATGAGAGGCTTGTACTCGAACCTGCGGGTGTCGTTGACGTCTCCTGCGAGGTTGACGAGGATGTCCTGCGACGCGAGGAACCTCGAAAGTCAGTAAGGTGCGCTGGATGGCGACACAGGGCGGGCTGCGAGACGCACCTCGGCAGTGTCGGCGCTTTGGGCGAACGTCGTGAGCAGCTTGCGGAGCGTCACCTGACCCGGCCGGAAGGGCAGAGCATCCTCATCGAGGCGCGTGAGGGCGATGCCGAGCTCGGGGAGCTGGAGCGGCCTGGTCGCGAACGGGTAGGCCTTGCCGAGGCCGCAGGCGAGCTTGTGCGCCGGCCAGATCTGCGCGCGCCTCGAGAAGTCACTCGGGCCCCTCGCGTCTGACTCGCCGACAGAGGAAGAGGGGGCGTACGAGCTGCAGGTGCTCTGGCGTGCAGAACCAGAGGTCGAGGTTGGCGCTGGCGCACGAGGAGCAGCGGCGCGTAGTCTCGATGCCGCAGACCTCGCACAGGTGCTCGTCTGCGTTGAGAGACATGGCAGATACAGCAGAGCAGCTCAACCAGGCAGCAGGTGCCGTGGAAGCCAGGACCCGGCGGTGGAGGAGGAGGAAGGGCGGCGCTCGCAGCTCCTCTCCCCTCTCCCTCCTCCAACCCCGCAAAGTCGACTGAACAGAGTCCTCTAGCCATGGCCGACATCTACCAGCTCATCAATGTGCCCCTCACCGCGCACGCCTTCAACGCCGACCGCTCTTGTGCGCCTCATCTGTCTCCTCGTCCCCCCCCCCCCCCCCACCTCGGTTTCTTTCGCTGATCTCGCTCGCGCGCTCGAGTGACGTCGCTTCCGTGTCGCCCAACTCGAACGAGGTCCACATCTACGCCTTTGACGTCAGGGCCTGAACCTGCAGCATGTCCTCACCGAGGTGCGCCCCCCTCCTCCTCTCGATCCTCCCTATCGTCATCACCGCGACCTCGGCTGACCCTCGACTCGACTCTGGAAACAGCACGACAAGCTTGTCACGTCGATCGACTGGGCACCTCAGACCAACCGCCTCGTGACGTGCGCGCACGACCGCAACGCCTACGTGTGGACGCTCGAGGCCCACCCCGAGACGGGCTCGCCCGTGTGGCAGCCGACGCTCGTCCTCCTGCGCATCAACCGCTCGGCCACGTTCGTGCGCTGGTCGCCCAACGAGGAGAAGTTTGCCGTCGCGTCGGGCGCGCGCACGATCGCCGTGTGCCAGTACGACGCCGAGAGCAACTGGTGGGTCGCCAAGCACCTCAAGAAGCCGCTGCGGTCGACCGTCCTCGGCCTCGACTGGCACCCGAACTCGGTCCTGCTCGCCGCAGGGTCGGCCGACGGCGCGGCGCGTGTCTTCTCGGCCTTCATCAAGGGCGTCGACGAGAAGTGCGTCCCCATCTCGCTCTCTCTCTCTCTCTCTCCTGCCTCGCCGAGGCCAAGACTGACTCTCTCTTGCCCGCCACAGGCCTCCTGCTTCGCCGTGGGGCGAGCGCCTTCCCTTCAACACGGTCTGCGGCGAGTTCATGAGCACGGCCGGCGGCTGGGTCCACGGCATCGCCTTTTCGCCCTCGGGCGACGCGCTCGCCTTTGTCAGTGCGTCCCTCGTCTCTCAGTTCTTTCTCTCGCCATGGCGCCGAGCCCTGACACGTCCCGACTCGGCACCACTCGCAGCGCACGACTCGATGCTCACGGTCGTCTACCCGTCCGAGGCCGACCAGCCGCCGGCGGCCGTTTACTCGGTCAACCTCGCGTCGCTGCCGTGCCTCACGCTCCAGTGGACGAGCGAGAACGCGCTCATCGCGGCCGGGCACGACTGCCAGCCGCTCGTGTTCGAGGGCTCGCTCGAAGGCGGCTGGGCCCAGACGGGCTCGCTCGACCAGCGCACGGGCACGTCGACCCGCGCGGCGGCGGGCCCCGGCGCAGGCGGTGTCGGGCGGCTCAACCGCAGCGAGGCGTTCAACATGTTCCGCGCGGCCGACTCGCGCGGCGTGTCGTCGAGCCCGGCGCCTGCCGCCGGAGGAGCGACGGCGGCGCCGGGCGGCGGCGCGCTCGGCGCGGGCCAGAAGCTCACGAGCAGCGGGACCGAGCTCCTCACGGTGCACCAGAACACGATCACGAGCGTGCGCGCGTACTCGGGCCCCGCGGGCGCCGTCGACCGCGTCAGCACGACGGGCGTCGACGGCAGGCTCGTCGTGTGGCCCGTCACGGCCGGCGGCGGCGGCGGCGTTGGAGGCGTCACTCGCGGCGTCGGGCAGCTCTCGATGTAGATACCGACGACGAGCGTGGATTGCAAAGGAAATCTGGATTCGTCTTCTTGTGTACAGCTCGCGGCACAGAGGGAGGGACAACAAGCGAGAGGAAGAGGGAGGGAAAGGCCGGGTCACTGCTGCTGCTCTTCCTCGTACATGGCCGCGTCCTCGCGCTGCCGCAAGACGGACCAGACCGAGGCTGCGCGTGGGGCGAGTTGTCAGCGAGGGCGAGAGAGAGAGAGGAGGTTGAGCGAGCGGACCTTTGAAGAGGGTGAGGATGAGGCCCAGCTTGCGCTCGAGGGGCCGCAGCTCGCTGAGGATCTGCGGCTGTGCTGCAGATAGGCGCTGGACGACGGTCGCGATCTGTCGGTCGAGGGGAGTGGTCAGCTCTCGCGTCGGAACGCGCCGAGGAGGAGGGCGAGAGCGGGCTCACGTCGTCGAGGTTGCGGGCCGTGGCCGAGTACTCTTGCAGGACCTGGAGCTCGAGCTGGTGGATGAGGTCGGCGGCTGGCCTGGGCGGCGAGGCGGGCTGCGCCATGGCTCGCTCGAGAGGGAGATGAGGAGGAGGTCGAGCGATTCCGAGGCGACGGTGGCTCGAGGAGAGGCGCGAGAGGCAGAATGGCCTCGGCCCGCCTCCCTCCCTCCTCTCTGCTCGCGCTACAGCACTCGAGTGAGTGCGCACACCGACTCCGAGTGGCTACCGCACGCCGCTCCGACGTCCCCGAACCCACCCTCGCGGCCGCCTCGCGCATCCACCACCCTGGTCCCCCCCCCCCCCCCCCCTTTCGACCCCTCACCTCGCCGCCTCCGCCCGACCGCCCTGCCCGCCATGGGTGCAGCCCAGCAGAACCGCCCGGAGGACCTCGACGACCGCTGTCTCGCCAAGTACGGCGTCCTCGACAACCGGTTCGGCCAGAACCCGTGCGAGGTCGCCCGCGTCCTGCTCGACATGTGCGCCCCGCAGGCCTACTACTCGCTGCCTGCACTCGACGTCGTCGCGAACCAGACGCACTACCCGTCCCCGAACCCGTACCAGGTGCGCCCCCCTCCTCCTCCTCCCTCCCTCGCCCTCGCCTCCACTTGTCGAGCGTGAACTGACGTCCCTCTCGCGCGGCGCCATTCTCTCGGACACAGGCGACCGAGTGCCAGTGCTCGATGGGCGTGTACAACCTCTTGCAGGGTTGTGCGGCGTGCCAGCAAGAGGCGCCGTACCAGTCGACCCTGGTGCGTCCCTCACGAGCCCCGCTCTCTCCCTCCCTTTCATTCCGTCGGCTCGACGGCTCGAGGCACCGGAGCTGACCCGGTTCCACCCCTGCCGCACACACAGTGGACCGACTGGGTTGCCAACTGCACCATGAGCAACATCAACGGCGGCCAGGTGTTCCCGTACGCGTGCCCGGGCGACGTCGAGATCCCGCCGTGGGCCTGGCAGAACAACGCCAACGGAGCGCTCTCGGTCGGCCAGATGTGCGTCCTCGCGTCTCACTGCTCTCGCTGTGTGACGACGGCATCCTGACCGCGATCGAACCCGTGCAGCTTCCGCAACGCCTACGGCAACCCGCAGACGTCCTTGTCCTCGTCGTCGACGACGTCTCCGCCAGCAACCGCCACGTCCGACTACACCGAGTTGTCGGGCAAGCAGACGGTCACGAGCGTGCCTGCGGGCGACATCTCGGACGAGCAGGCCGAGCGCAACACGGACAAGTCGGTCATGGCTGCGCTCCTCGCCGTCCGTGCGTCCACTCTCTCTCTCTTTCCTCCCTTGCACCCGCAGCACCCGGACTGACTCGTCGTTCTCCCTCGTCTGTCCCTGCAGTGATCCCTGTCGTCGTCATCACGCTCGTCGTCGTCGGTGTGTGCGTCTACCTGCGCAAAAAGCGGCGCCGGTTCCGCGGTCGCGGGCACAAGCTCGACTCGTCGGCCGAGCTGCCCGAGCACGGCGCCCACCACCTGTACGACGGCTCGGACGCCACCTCGTCGACTGCCGGCTTCAGCAGCAGCACGGCCGGCGGCGCCGGCGCCGGCGCCAGCGGCTTCATGAAGCAGAAGGACTCAGGCGTGTCGGTCTTTGCGGCCCGGCCGGCAGCTCCGCAACGGTCGTCGACGGCGCGCAGCTTCACGACCAACTCGGTGTCGACGGGCGTGCCTGTCGGCGCGTACGGCGACCGCCTCGGCTACCGCGAGTCGACCCTGTACTCGGCGTCGACCGGGTTCGACACGCTCACGCGCTCGAGCGCGTTCAGCTACGACCCGAGCGGCGACTCGTACCGCGACCACGACGACGCGTCGCTTGCCGACACGACGGCGCACCGCCACCTCGACGACGACGACGAGTCGATCTCGCCATTCGCCGACATCCACCGTCCTGCCCCCTCCCTCACCACGACGCGCGACAACATCCACTCGGCGCCGCACGCCCCGGCGTCGTCATCGTCGGCCTACGCGCGCTCGTTCTCGACCTTTTCGCTCAGCGCGAGCACGACGCGCTCGTCGACCGGCGGCGGCGGAGGCGGCGGCGGCGATGGGCCGGTGGTCGGGTCGTCGCGCACGACGCTCGAGCCCGACGCGGCGTCGTTGCGCACGACGGCGAGCTCGCAGGGCGCGCCGCCGAGCAGCAGTGGGGCGACGTATGGCGGGGCGCGCGAGGACGAAGAGGACGGCGACGACGACGAGGGCTTGAGCGAGCGGGGCTCGCTAAGGCGGTAGTTTGAGGGCTCTCTCCTTCTCTCTTCTCCAGACACTCCCCCCTCTCTCACTCTTTCTTGTTGTCCTGCATGCGAGGGATGTACACACGCGAGGGCGCACGGACGCTCTCTCTTCTCCCCCCTCCTCCCCTCCTCTTCTTGCTTAGCTTGTCCCCTCGCGCTCTCTCCCCGTCTGTGCCGATGTTGTCCTGTACCTAGTCGATCCTGCGCGTCACGTCGCTGCATTGCCCTGAGCCGTTCGAGAGAGAGTCGGAGAGAGCGGGCCGGCCCGGCCCAGGCGGCGATTCGGCGACCGGGCGCATCTCGAGCTCCTTCTCCTCCCTCTCTGCCCTCGTCACCTCGCAGCGCAGCTCCCTGCCCGCACCTAGCACCACGCACGCACCCAGCCGTCCACCATGAGCAGCGCCCTCACCGCGTCGCTCGACCGGCTCGTCCTCAACCCGGCCCTGCACGACGTCCTCGCCATCCTCAAGGGCGCGCGCAACGGCCTCGTGTACGGCGCCAGGGTCCGCGGCCCGCATGCGCTCGTCATGAGCCTCATCTTCCAGTCTGGCCCGTGCGTCCCCTCGCTCTCTCTCTCCCTCTCTCCAGGCGAGCCCGGCGGAGCGACTTGCGCATGACGAACGGTGGGCAGACGACGGGACCCGCCTCGACCTCGCCTCGAGCAGGGTATTGACCTGCCGCGTCGCACTCGTTCGTACCCCCGAACAGGTGGCAGCAGCGCCTGCGGTACGTGTACCGCGCGACCAAGCAGCACTCGCTCAACCTGGCCAGGTTCGTCGCCATCTACAAGACGGCGCTCCTCGTCCAGAAGACGCTCGCCGGCGGCAAGCAGCGCTCGATGGACACGTTCTGGGCCGGACTCGTCGGAGGATGGGCCGTCTTTGGCGAGAGGAACGCCGTCAACGAGCAGGTGCGTCCCCCTCCCTTCTCCTCCTCCTCTCGTCGCTCCTTCTCGGTCCCTGACACAGGTGTCGTACGCGCCCACAGATCGTCCTCTATGTCGTCTCACGCATCATCACGTCGCTCCTCCCGCGCGCGACGCCCGCCGTCCCGCTCGCGCCCGCCGCGCCGGGCTCGACCGCCGCCGACGGGTTCCCGCTCCCGCCCGGCTCGCCGTACCCCAAGTCGCGCGCGCCGCACCCCAAGGTGTTCGAGGTGTATGCGGCAGTCGCGTGGGGGCTCGTCATGTACCTGTTCAGGGAGAGGAGGGACAGGCTCCACGGCGGCATGGTCAGCAGCATGCAGGTGCGTCGGCCGCGCTCTCTCTCTCTCTCGCACTCAGCTCGGCGCTGTCCATGTCGAGGACAGCGTCGGTGAGTAGTACGGGTATATTGGCGACTGACGCTCGAGCTTGCTCCTGCAGTACCTGTACCTCGATTCCGAGGTGTGGAACTCGTTCAAGACGCTCCTTTGGCGTGAGTTCCCTCGCCTCCCTCGGTTGGCCCTGTATCGCTCGAGGTGCAGTACCCTGACTTCGTTCTCATCCTTCGCAGACAACCGCTAGAAGACGAGTGCGCGATTGACGAGCGCGAGCGGGAGGGAGAGGGGTCGACGTCGATGGCGCGCGGTCGGCCCTTTTTTTTTGCTGTACTTTCTCTGTCTTGTTGTCATGAATGCGGTGCCGTGCCTCTCTTTGCGCCCCTGGTCGAAGCAGACGAGAGACAAGTGGACTTGGGGTCGAAATCGTGCGCCGCTCTCGCCGGCGCGCCGACCGCAAGCTGCTGCCGCTGGTGAACGACTCCCACACCATGTCGACCCGCTCGAGCTGCGCGACCAAGATGCTCAAGGCGGTCCCGAGCGCACGCTCGTTCGCCTCTACGAGCCAGGCCTGCCTCCCACCCAAGCGTGCGCCCTCATCTCTCCCCTCGCCGCCCTCTCCGCGAACCTCTCACACTCACCTCGGCTCCTCGCCGCACGCAGTGTCGAGCAAGGCGTCGCTCTATGCCAAGAACAAGAAGAACAACTCTGCAGACGAGGTGCGCCCCGTGCTCGCCTCCTGTCTGTCACCCGGGCCTGACCTTGGACTCTTGTCGAGCAGGACGGCGCAGGGTCCGGCGCAGGTGTCGGCAACGTCCTGTCCGAGGTCACTCTGCCCCGACCAGACCTCAGCGGCCTCAAGGCGATGCACCCGGTCCGTCCCGCTTTCCTCACCGCCTCCTTCGCGGACTCGTCGAGCTGACTGGCTCGACCCTCGCACTCGCAGGAGGACCTGGCCAAGGACACGGTTGGGCAGGTGCGCGCGTTCCCGGGACCTGCGCTCGAGGCCTTCAAGGCGTTGAGCATGCCGACCTCGATCAAGCGCGAGGTGCGCCGCCTCTCCTCCCCTCCCCTCCCTCGTCCGCCCGCCCGGTCAGTCCACTGACGCTCGCGCACCGCCCCGCAGCACGCCTTCACGTCCAAGCCGGCGACGGTCGTGCGGGACGCGACGCTTAAGATGGCGCGGACGCTGGACGAGGGCAAGAAGGTGGCGAGTCGGGAAGCGCGGTACTTCCTCAGTGCGTCGGCCTCGTCCCTCCCTCCCTCCTGCGCACCTCGGCGACGCCCGAGCTGACCCTCTCTCCTTCTCTCGACACAGCTGGCGACAAGGGCACGGGCAAGAGCTCGCTCCTCCTGCAGGCCGTGTCGTACGCCCAGTCGACCGACTGGATCGTCCTGTACCTCCCCTCTGCCCTCCCGCTCGTCAACTCGTCCACGCCCCACACCTACTCGCAGCAGCGCGCCCTCTTTGAGCAGCCTGCGCTCGCATCCGCCCTCCTGTCCAAGTTCGCGGCCGCCAACAAGGCCGCGTTCAAGCAGCTCCAGACGACCAAGGAGCACGCGTTCGGCGACAGCAAGAAGGTCGCGCAGGGCAAGACGCTCGAGGACTTGGCCAAGGCGGCAGGAGGCGACGACAAGCTTACGACGGCCGTCTTCGAGGCCGTCATGGAGGAGCTCGCGGCGCAGAACCAGTGCGTCCTCTCCCTCTTTCGCGTTGCCGACCGTCGGGCGACAGTCGCTCACTCTTTCCGGACCCACAGGCGCCCGGTCCTCCTCGCGATCGACGACGCGCAGCCCCTGTTTGCGACGAGCAAGTACGTCGACCCGACGTACCAGCCGCTCGAGTCGTTCGGCTCGTCATCCCGCGCCTCCTCCTCGAGTTTGTCGCCGGCGAGCGCTCTTTTGTGAGCTTCTCCCCTTCCCCTCGTCGCGACCTGGGCCCTCTACTGACACTCGGCCTCGCACGCAGGCCAACGGCACCATCCTCCTGTCCGCCTCGTCCCTTGCCGTCTCTTCCTCCCCCGCCCTCGACGCCTTCCTCACCTCGACCGCCTCGACCCCGTCCTCCTCGTCCTCGTCGCGCGCACGCCCGCTCCCCTCGGCGTACGACACGGCGCGCGCCTCGTCGTTCGACACGTACTCGGCCGTCCTGAGCGGCCTCGAGCGCTTCGAGCTCCCGCCGCGGCTCAGCCGCAAGGAGGCCGTCGGCATCGTCGAGCTGCTGCGGGGCTGGAGGGGCACTCGCGAGTGTGCGTCCCACTTTCTTTCTCCCATTCTCTCTCTTTTCGCGCCATCCTCGCGAGCGAGACGAGCCCTGACACTCTCCCTGCCCGGTCTCGCAGTCGTCGACGACAAGTCGTTCCTCGAGAAGCTCGTCGCCGCCGATGGCAACCCGCGCGAGTTTGCGCGCGTTATGACCAAGACGGCGGCGTTGTAGACCTCGCAGCTGTGCAGCCAGCCTGCTCTCGAGATGCGCTGCTCGCCCGTTCGCCCCTCGCCGACAGAGAGAGAAAGACGCCGAAAGGGAAGGGCAATAGAGTCGAGGAATGCAAGAGAGAGGGGAAACTGTCTAAAGGGTGGTTCCCCGCCCCGCTCGCTCCTCGCCGGTCGTGAACACTACAAAACCTGCGCGGCAAATGCAAGTCCCCCTGATGAACAACCTCGAGAGCCCTGCTGCCAGAGCCTCATGCGCCCGCCGTGCTGCTACCGATACGCGCCCTCGCCGCCGACCGACACGGGCGAGCTGAACAGCGACGCCGGCACCGTGTGCGCCCCGCCACCCGCATGCGCCTTCTCCCACTGCTCCATGGCAGCGACCGCGCTCCGATCCCGCGGCGGCTCGCGCGAAGCCGACGCCGTCCGGTTGCGCGCCATGCTCGGCCCGCCGCCGATGCTGCTGCTGCTCGGCGCACCGCCGCCGCCACCCGACGACGTGAAGCCGTTGGTGAGGCCGCTGCCGCCGTTCGGGTGCCGCCCTGCTGCGACCCCGGGCGACGTGTGCGCGCTCGCGCTCGCCGATACGTGATGCGGCGGCGGGGCGGCGGCGGCGGCGTACGGCGAGTTGTGCGCGTGCGAGCCGTGCCCGCCGCCGCCGCCGCCGGCGGATGGCGCCAACGCTGGCGAGGCGTACACGGACGACGCGCCGACGACGTGGTGCGACGACGGGTCGGCGCCGTACGGGTGCGAGTGCGCGTGCGGCGGTGCCGGGGCGCGAGGGCTCGTGGGCCCGCCGGCGTACGCGCCCGAGGGCAGGGACGACGGCGGCGGGGGCGTGACGCCGCCGTCGAGGTCGCGCACGTCGCCGACCGTGGTCGGGAGGCTCATGTCGTGGCGCTTCTCGACCTGGGTGCGGCGCTTCTCGCCCTTGTCGACGTCCGACTTGGCGCGGTTGTACATCCACAGGCCGCCGAACGTGCTCGTCATGCCGACGGCCTGCACGAGCGACACGTGCTGGCCCGACCACACGATGGCGATGCAGATGACGGCGATGCGCTTGACGAGCGACGCGATCGAGTAGGTGACGGGCGACGTGCGCGCGAGGAGCGAAAAGGCGAGGAGGTTTTGCGCAAAATGGACCGTGCCGTTGGCGAAAAAGTAGAAGACGAGTGTCCTTGTCGGCGAGTCGTCGACGATGGCCGACGCGTGCGGCGAGACGGCCTTGGCCGGCGCGAAGAAGAGGGCCGACGCGTCCGAGTAGAGCCAGATCGGGATCATGAGGAAGAAGGCCATGCCGGACGAGTACAGGAGGAGGTTGAGCTTGTCGAGTTTGGCCGACCCTGCGACGCCCGTACCGCTGCCATCGCCCGAGGACGACGACGACGAGGGCCCGGCCTTTTCCTCGGCCGAGACGGCGCCCGTGTTCTCCTTGGGGAGGAGCTTCTTCGAAAAGATGTTTTGCGCCACGAAGATGAACGTCGACCCGAGGGCGCACAGGAACCCGACGGCGTTGGCGCGCAGGTCGAACGAGCACGCGAGCATGACGCCGACCGTGAGGGGGAGGAGGGCGACGTAGGTCGCCGTGCTGTAGCGCACGCCGAACAGGGCCGCGTACGACAGGACGGTGAACAGGGGCGAGAGGGCCTGCGCGCGCGAGCGGGAGAGAGATGTCAGGCTCGATTGCGCGAACGAGAGAGAGAGGGCGGGAGGACGCACCTTGATCGTGTGGACGGTGCTGACGGGCACGCGCGCGATGGCCATGCTCGAAAAGACGTGTCCGGCGATCTGGAACAGGCTCATCATGAACGTGCCGTGGAACATGTGGCGCGACGGCTTGCGAATGCCCCAACCGCCCATCGTGCTGACGCTCATGCGCCTGCGCGACAAGCCGCCGCTCGCGTGGCCGGTCGCGCCGCCGAGGCGTTCGCGCACAAATAGGACGACGACGCAGTAGCCGGCGACGAACGCAAACTGGACGAACGTGAGCGTGACCGGGTACCGGAACCGGGTGAGGATGGATTTGCCCGTGTTGGACGAGAAGGCCGACGAGAGGTACCACAGGCAGCACAGGAAGATGAAGCCCGCGGTCGAGGTCGACGGGAGGTAGGCCGCGAGCGACGCCGGGGCCGACGACGAGGGCCCCGGCGACGACGACGGCGCGAGTTTCGGGACGAAGTTGGACCAGGCGCCGCCGTTGGGGCCGTGGCCGTTGCGGTTGCTGAACGGCATGGCGCCGTTGCTCGACGACGACGACGACGAGAAGGTTTGCTGGGCGGTGCGGGCGACGTTGGACAGCAAGGCGGTCAAGGTGCCGCCTTCGGGTGAGCGCGAGCGGTACGCAGCTCCCGAGGCGTGGTAGCCGTTGCCGACGTACGGGTCGCGAGGGTCTGCGGGCGGTCAAAGCTCGGGTGAGCTGGGGAGGAACCTCGACAGTGCGAGAGGGGAGGACAAGGACGACGTACCGTGAGGTTGAAGGGCGGGAGCCGGGTCGTCGTACAGGTGGTCTGCTCGAGCTGCTGCTTGACCGTGCGACTGACGGTACCTGGGCGTGTCGTGCAGGCTCATGGTGCGCACCGCGCGCGTGTCCCCGGTGCTGTCCTGGCCGGGGTGGAGCTGGGCGAGATGGGTGGGAAGCGCGACGGTCGACGGGAGGAGGGGGCGAGCTGCGACGAGCGGGGCTGCTGGTCGGGTCGAGTGGGCGGTGGGTGCGCGTGGACCTGCCACTGGCTGCACTCTACAGGGAGCGGGCGAGGGACAGGGACGGGCAAGCAGCTGGACCTCCTCGACGTCGACGCGACAACTCTCCGGACCTCCGACGAGCCTACAACCTCGCCTCGTCGAGACGCCATGTTCCACCCTACCCGGTGCGCACCTCACTCTCTCATGCTCGCACGTCCAACCCGCGCACGCTGACTCGCTCTCGTCGTCCCACCGCAGCGGCGGTACCAGGTCCGTCCTCGCTGCACCCACTCTCGCGCGCGCCTACTGACTCGGTGCACTCGCAGGGGCGGCCAAGGCGACTTCAAGTGGACCGACGTCGCCAACGTGCGTCCCCTCGAGCCCTCTCGTCCCTCTCGCCCCTCTCCCTCCCTCTCCTCTCGCCCCTCCGCCCCACAGCTGACCACCTTCACTCGCCCCGCAGGACAAGGACCGCGAGTTCTACCTCGGCCACAGCCTCAACGCGCCCGTCGGACGCTGGCAGAACGGCAAGGACCTCACCTGGTACAACAAGGACAAGCGCGGCGACGTCGACGAGCAGGAGCGCCTCCGCCGCGAAGAGCTCAAGAAGGTCAAGGAGGCAGAGGAGGACGCCCTCGCCGAAGCTCTGTGCGTCCTCACCCGTCCGATCTCGTCCCATCTCGCGCGCTGACCCAGCCCCGCCCCTACCTCGTCCGACAGCGGCTTTGCCCCGACCCTTCGCCCTCCCCCTTCCGCCTCAACCTCGACCTCTGCCGCCGGCCCGTCCGACCCGAACCAGGCCATACTCGACAAGGCGCGCCGTAAGGCCGAGCGCCACGCCGAGAAGGAGGCCCGCCGCGCCGACCGCGACCGGCGGCGCGAGGAGCGCGCAGCAAGACACGGCTCGTCCGGCCGCGACGGCCGCGACCGGGCGCGCTCGCGGTCGCACGACGACCACCACCGCCACCACCACCGCGACCATCGTGACCGTGACCGTGAGCGAGGGGAGCGCCGCGAGCACCGTGAGCGCGACCGGAGCAGGTCCCCGGCGAGGAGGCGGCACGACGAGGGCGGCGCAGACGGGCGGCGGCACGGCAGTCGGGATCCGCATGACGAGGGCCGACGTGCGCACGAGCGTGACCGTGGGGTGCGCGACGAGGCGCGGTCAGAGGGGCGCAGGGAGGGCACGAGCGGGCGGCGGGACGAGCGGCGAGGGGAGGGCGGCGTCAAGAGGGAGAGTAGCGTGTCCTCCCCGCCGCGCTCGCGGTACTGAGCAACTTGATGCCCTGCTTTGCCAGTCTGAGCGTGTGCTGCGAGAGGTCTGCGCCCACACAGAGAGAGCTAGTCCGCGTCGTCTTCTCATCAGTCGCGTCGTTGCCGGACCCGAGGTCGACTCCCTCCTCCTCCCTTTACACCTCTCCAGCGTCGACACGGCCACCTACACAGGCCCTTCATCCACTCGCCCGACTCCCTCATCGCCCGCCTCCCGCCATGCCCTCCCACTCGCACAAAGCCCCGCTCCTCGTCCTCCTCCTCGCGCTCGCGCTCGCCCCGGCACTCGTGCACGCCTTCTTCGAGCAGTTCTTCCAGCACCAGGCCGAGCACCAGGCGCAGGCGCCACCCACCTGGGACCAGCAAGTCGACGCGCGTGCGTCCCACCTTCTCCCTCGTCCTCGCCCCTCTCTCCTCTCTCCGCAGGCGCTGACCCACCCCTCGCCACTCTGCCAACAGTGAGCTGCGCGACGTACGTCTGCCCCGACTCGCTCGTGTGCGCCGCGACGCCCGCAGACTGCCCGTGCCCGTCGGCGCTCGACACCAAGTGCACGCTCGGCGGGGGAGAGGGCGCGTTCTTGTGCGCGAGGGACTGTACAAAGGTGCGGACGGCTGAGAGGGCGTTTGCGTGAGGTAGGTGCGGGCGCAGCTCAGTCGGCGAGCGTAACGAGGTCCTGTCAAGGCGCGTGCTGCTCTCGTCGTGGCCAGATCGACTCGCGCTTCCGGAATGGAGAGAGAGAGAGAGCGCGCGCTCTCCCACTGCGAGGTACTACGAGAGGAGAGAAAGAACTTGCGAGGGTTGCAAAGAGTGCACAGACGATCCGACGTCGGGCTCGTGCGGCGTGACGGAAACCAGCTCCGACGACGCCCGCCCCTCATAGTCGCTCCTCCTCACCCTGCCGCCGCCTCGACCTGCCCTGCTGTCCGCTCCTCGCTCCCTTCCGAGCGCTCCGGCCCCTCCCACGAGCGCTCCGGCCCCTCCCACGAGCGCTCGCCCTCCTGCGCATGCTCCGCCATGGCGCGCTTGAGCCTCCCAAACTCGGCCCTCAGCTCGTCGGCGCGCCGCGAGTCGGCCTCGCCTTTGGTCGCGAGGAGCGTGAGCTGCTTGAGCGCCGACGAGGTCGACGCGGAGTGCTGCTCGGCGAACGAGGCTTGGTCGGAGCGCAGGGAGGAGAGGGACGAGGTGGCGGTGTCGGCGAGCGAGGCGCGAGAGGCGAGGAGGGTCGCGACTACAAGAGTGAAGTGTCAGTGCTGGACCTAAAAACATGAGCCGAAAGGGAGAGAGGGACGCACTCGTGGAAGACTTGACCTCGAGCTCTTTTTGCGAGCGAGCGAGGTCCTCGCGGATCCACCGCAAGTCGTCCTTCCAACCCTCCTGCATCGTCCTGTTTTAACGGAAGCGGCGAGTCAGTCGTGCCTCGCGAGTCGCCAGGCGTATAGGAGGACGAGAGCGACGCACCTGAGACCGTCCCGCAAGCCGGCGTACTCCCTCTCGCTCTGGACTTTCGCGTCCTCGGCCTTCTTCGCCCCCTCCTCGAGCTCCTTCATGCGGCCCTTGACGCCGCGCTCGAGCTCCGAGTGCTGCTTCTGGAGCACCTGGAGCGCGCCCTCGGCCGTCCGCGCCCGCGTGAGCGCCTCGTCCTGTAGGCGCTCCTTGCGCGCAAGCTGGCGGTTCAGGCCGTCGATCTCGCTCGACAGGCGGTCCTTGGTCTCCTTGAGGTCCTCTGCGTGCGTCTCGTGAGAGATTCAGTGCCGGTGACATGTATAAAGGGAATGAGTGGGCCGACGACGGACCGTTCTGCCGCCCGAGAAACTCGACCGCCCTCTGGCTGAGCCGCAGCTGCCCGCGCGTGCTCTCGAGGGCCGTGCGCGCCTGCAAGAGGTCACTCTGGAGGCCCGAGATGACGCGCCCCGAGCCGGACTGCGACGACGCGGCCGACTTGGACAGCCGCTCGCTCGAGGCACGGCCCGAGCCGAAGAACGGGTTCGAGCTCGGCCCCGAGGAGCGGCTCGCCGACGCTGACGCGCTCGGGAGGCCGTTCGAGAGGAGCGCAGAGGGCGAGGGCGAGCGCTGTGGTGCGGGTGCGGGCGGGACGGCGAGCGCGTCGGCCTCGTCCGAGTGCGCCTTCGAGCGGCCGTTCGCGGCGCGCCCGGAACCCGCGCCGGGCGAGCCCTCGCTGCTGAGCAGGGCGCGGTTCATCGCGACGGGCCCGGTGCCCTCGGGCAGGCGCGACGGGCTGCGCGGCGAGGGCGACGTCGCGGCGCCGGGATGGTGAGGGAAGTGCGCCGAGCGAGGCGACGTCGCCGACGCGTTCGAGCTGGACCGTCGGCGGGCGGTGAGGGACGATGTCGAGGCTGACAGGTCGGTGAAGGAGGGTTTGCGGGCGGGACCACCGAGCGAGGGGGATTGACGAGGCGAGGTCGAGTTGAAGGGGGCATGGCTCGCGTGGACGCCGAGCTTGGCTTGCCTGTCGAGGGGAGGGGAGCGCAAATCAGCCCCGAGGTAGTGCGAGCGAGGAGATAGGACTCGCGCCGCTGGGCGGCCCGAGCGAGCGAAGAGAGGAACCAGAGGGACACACAGGTTGGCGATCTCGGCCTTGGCGAGACGAAGCTGGTGCTGGAGCTGAGCCTGGTCCTCGCGCCAGCTGCTGTCCCTGCGCTCACGCTGGTCGGTCCGGGTCGGCGGGCGAGGTGCTGGCGGTGACGGGCGAGAGGTGCCGTCGACGAGGTGAAGGGGCGGTGCTAGCCCAGGGCTGCCGTTGCTGTGCGGCGCGGTCCCGCTCATGCCGTGCGCTGTCGAGCGTCCTGGCACGCAGCAGGTGCGAGCAAAGGAGCGTGTCGTCAAGAGGCGAAGCGCGAAGGCAGCTGCTTCGTCGCTCGCAACCTCGGTTCGGCGTCACTCGCCATGCCCATCCCTGTGCAGCTGCTGTGCAGGCCAGTCGCCCTGCGACCACTCGCGACCTGCGCGCGCACCTTGTCTCCGCGGCCCGCCTTCACCTCGACCCGTGCCCTCTCCTCCCTCTCCCCACACCTTCATCGCTCCTCTCCTCTCTCGCTCCCGCCACGCCCCCGGGCCGGTCCAGCATGGCGATCACGCACCGTTCGGTTCCTCTCGTCGCCACCAAGCCCGCCGACCCCGACACCGCCGCCGCGTGCGCCCGACGACACCCCGCCTCCGCTCGCGGCCGCCTCGTCCAAGCCCAACGAGGCGCGCGAGAACCCCTACACGATCCCGAACGCGATCACGGTCGCCCGCATGGCTGCTTGCCCCGTCATTGGGTACTACATCCTCGAGGGCGACCTGTCGACCGCGACCGCGCTCCTGTTCGTCGCCGGCGTGTCCGACCTCGTGAGCCGTCTCGTCCTCTTCCTCGACGGCGTAGCCACGAGGTGCCAAGCTGACACGGCCCACCTCTCTCCTGCAGGTCGACGGGTGGCTTGCACGGCGGTTCAACATGGGCTCGGTCCTCGGCAGCATCCTCGACCCGGCCGCCGACAAACTGCTCATGACGACCATGGTCATCACGCTCGCCATGCGTGACATGCTCCCTCGTGCGTCCCCGTCTTCTCTCCTTCTGCGTCTCGGGCCTCTCTCTGACTCGGAGCGCATGCCGTCGCAGTTCCGCTCGCCATCATCATCCTCGGACGAGATGTCGCCCTCTCGCTCGCGGCCTTCTACTTCCGCTACGCCTCGCTCCCTCCTCCTGTGCGTCCTCTCACCTGTCACGTTCTCTCTTGTGTGCCTCGAACTGACCCTCATCTGCCTCACCAGAAAACCTTTGCGCGGTACTGGGACTTTTCGATCCCGTCGGCCTCGGTCCACCCGACCGCCATTTCCAAGTACAACACCTTCCTCCAGCTCCTCCTCGTTGGCTCAACGACAATCGCGCCCTTGTTGCCCTTTGAGCTGGGCACTGCCGTCACTGGGATGCAGTGCGTCTCCTTCTCCCTTTCTGCTCCCCTGGTGAACCCCTGCTCACTCGGTCGGACTGCTGCCCCTGCAGGTGGCTTGTTGCAGGGACTACGATTGCCTCAGGCCTGTCCTATGTTGGCACTGGGTCGCGTGCAGCAGTCAAGTACGTCAAGTAGAGCACCGAGTCTCTCCAGCGCCGCAGTCCGGCAGAAGCAGTGCACACAGTCTCCCTTGCAATCCTCTGCCAGTGAGAGCCAGGGAAGAATGGGTGCAGAGAGAAGCACGTGAGCTGGAGCACAGCCCACCGTGCTTGAGAACGAGCGGCAGGAGGTGCGCACGCACCTAGTGACAGGCTCGACTGGGCAAGGGAGCTGTCAGGGAACGAGTCTCGGCTGGCACTGAGAGTGATTGACTGCGCAAGGAACGTGTGTCAGGGCCTGAGGCTTTGCCAAGAGGTAGAGCGGCAGGGGCGGCTCACTTAGACAAGGAACATGCAGACAGGTCCGTGAGAGGTGTGCGCAAATTGAATCACAGGGCGCGCTGCTCGAGCGGCAAGAGAGGACGTTTGATATGCCTCCACCTGCTGAGAGCACCTCCCGGGTCTGGCTGGGCAGGTAGCCCAAGGTCAGGGTGGTTCTGCCACACTGTGCAGCTGCCCGCACATGTCTCAATGTGCCATTTCCCAAGAGCATAGCGCGGATGTAAGGCGGGCCATGGACTGCGAGGGACCTCTTTGCCAGTTGGATGGGCAGGTAGGCCAATGAAAAGATAGGGATCAGTCTGTGGCATCAAGTCTGCTGTTGTTACTAGAGACTGTGCTACGTTCCCTGGGGCCTATGAGGAACAGGCCTACTGACCTACCGCTTGGCACAGGGACCATAGAATAGTATACCTTGATGCCAATGGAGCCAGATTTGGGCCAGTGCATTGGTAGCATCCTCAGCCAGACCAAGCCTCTTGGCCCCCCTCGGACCCAACCCGTCTGCGCGCACAGCTCCATGAGGAACAGGGCTACTAGCCTACTGCTTGGCACAGGGACCCTATAATAGTATACCTTGATGGGAATGGAGCCAGATTTGGGCCAATGAAAAGATAGGGATCAGTCTGTGGCATCAAGTCTGCTGTTGTTACTAGAGACTGTGCTACGTTCCCTGGGGCCTATGAGGAACAGGCCTCCTGACCTACTGCTTGGCACAGGGACCATACAATAGTATACCTTGATGGTAATGGAGCCACATTTGGGCCAGCGCATCAGTAGCATTGTCAGCCAGACCAAGCCTCTCGACCCCACTCGGACCCAACCCGTCTGCACGCACAGCTCCATGAGGAACAGGGCTGCTGACCTACTACTTGGCACAGGGACCATACAATAGTATACCTTGATGGTAATGGAGTCAGATTTGGGCCAGCGCATCAGTAGCATTGTCAGCAAGACCAAGCCTCTTGGCCCCCCTCGGACCCAACCCGTCTGCGCGCACAGCTCCATGAGGAACAGGGCTACTAGCCTACTGCTTGGCACAGGGACCCTATAATAGTATACCTTGATGGGAATGGAGCCAGATTTGGGCCAGCGCATCAGGAGCATTGTCAGCCAGACCAAGCCTCTTGGCCCCACTCGGACCCAACCCGTCTGCGCGCACAGCTCCATGAGGAACAGGGCTACTGACCTACTGGTTGGCACAGGGACCATACAATAGTACACCTTGATGGTAATGGAGCCAGATTGGGGCCAGCGCATCAGTAGCATTGTCAGCCAGACCAAGCCTCTTGGCCCCACTCGGACCCAACCCGTCTGCGCGCACAGCTCCATGAGGAACAGGGCTACTGACCTACTGGTTGGCACAGGGACCATACAGCAGTATACCTTGATGGTAATGGAGTCAGATTTGGGCCAGCGCATCAGTAGCATTGTCAGCCAGACCAAGCCTCTTGGCCCCACTCGGACCCAACCCGTCTGCGCGCACAGCTCCATGAGGAACAGGGCTACTGACCTACTGCTTGGCACAGGGACCATACAGCAGTATACCTTGATGGTAATGGAGGCAGAGTTGGGCCAGCGCATCAGTAGCATTGTCAGCAAGACCAAGCCTCTTGGCCCCCCTCGGACCCAACCCGTCTGCGCGCACAGCTCCATGAGGAACAGGGCTACTAGCCTACTGCTTGGCACAGGGACCCTATAATAGTATACCTTGATGGTAATGGAGCCAGATTTGGGCCAGCGCATCAGTAGCATTGTCAGCCAGACCAAGCCTCTTGGCCCCACTCGGACCCAACCCGTCTGCGCGCACAACTCCATGAGGAACAGGGCTCCTGACCTACCACTTGGTGCAGGGACCATACAATAGTATACCTTGATGGTAATGGAGCCAGATTTGGGCCAGTGCATCAGTAGCATTGTCAGCCAGACCAAGCCTGTCGGCCCCCCTCGGACCCAACCCGTCCGCGCACAGCTCCATGAGGAACAGGGCTACTACTGACCTACTGCTTGGCACAGGGACCATACAGCAGTATACCTTGATGGTAATGGAGTCAGATTGGGGCCAGCGCATCAGTAGCATTGTCAGCCAGACCAAGCCTCTTGGCCCCACCCGGACCCAACCCGTCTGCGCGCACAGCTCCATGAGGAACAGGGCTGCTGACCTACTACTTGGCACAGGGACCATACAATAGTATACCTTGATGGTAATGGAGCCAGATTGGGGCCAGCGCATCAGTAGCATTGTCAGCCAGACCAAGCCTCTTGGCCCCACCCGAACCCAACCCGTCTGCGCGCACAGCTCCATGAGGAACAGGGCTATTGACCTACTGGTTGGCACAGGGACCATATAATAGTACACCTTGATGGTAATGGAGCCACATTTTGGCCAGCGCATCAGTAGCATTGTCAGCCAGACCAAGCGTCTCGACCCCACTCGGACCCAACCCGTCTGCGCGCCCAGCTCCATGAGGAACAGGGCTACTGACCTACTGCTTGGCACAGGGACCATACAGCAGTATACCTTGATGGTAATGGAGCCAGAGTTGGGCCAGCGCATCAGTAGCATTGTCAGCCAGACCAAGCCTCTTGGCCCCACTCGGACCCAACCCGTCTGCGCGCCCAGCTCCATGAGGAACAGGGCTACTGACCTACTGGTTCGCACAGGGACCATATAATAGTACACCCTGATGGTAATGGAGCCAGATTGGGGCCAGCACATCAGTAGCATTGTCAGCCAGACCAAGCCTCTTGACCCCACTCGGACCCAACCCGTCTGCGCGCACAGCTCCATGAGGAACAGGGCTACTGACCTACTGCTTGGCACAGGGACCATACAGCAGTATACCTTGATGGTAATGGAGTCAGATTTGGGCCAGCGCATCAGTAGCATTGTCAGCCAGACCAAGCCTCTTGGCCCCACTCAGACCCAACCCGTCTGCACGCACAGCTCCATGAGGAACAGGGCTGCTGACCTACTGGTTGACACAGGGACCATATAATAGTACACCTTGATGGTAATGGAGCCAGATTGGGGCCAGCACATCAGTAGCATTGTCAGCCAGACCAAGCCTCTTGGCCCCACTCGGACCCAACCCGTCTGCACGCACAGCTCCATGAGGAACAGGGCTGCTGACCTACTACTTGGCACAGGGACCATACAATAGTATACCTTGATCGTAATGGAGTCAGATTGGGGCCAGCGCATCAGTAGCATTGTCAGCCAGACCAAGCCT